TCAAACACAAGTTCACAGTCAAAGGCGAGTTTGCGGCCGTAAACTATGTTCACGGTCAAAAGAGAGTTTGCGGCCGTAAACTCTGTTCACGGTCTGGAGTTTACGGTCGTAAGGTGTTTCCGGTTTAAGTTCACGGTCCAAGAATCTAATTTTCCGGTTTATGAACAGTCCTTATTCACGGCCCAAGAACCAAGTTCACGGTTCAAGAACTGATGGGAGTTTGCGGCCGTAATCTAAGTTTACGGCCGTAAGCTAAGGCCGTAATCTCCCAGAAACTTGAGAAAAACGCAGTTTTTGAATGAAGCTTGAAATCCTTTCTCAGCAAACACCAACTTCAGTCGCAAACAAATAAGAACACGGTCACAAATCGATTGTAGAGTGCTTTTGACGCTGGTTTTGCTCTGATACCAATTGTAAGGTCCTAAAACGGATCTTACCAGTGATCAAACAGCAAACACAATCAGTTAACAATAAAGAACAAGTAGAAACAAGAATGATAACAAGCTTGCACACGCTTTCTATTAGAATAACGTCTGGTACAACTTGTGGTAATAACAACCGTGAACTCTGTGGCATCAACAACTAATAAATGACCTAGCATACCTCTATATATACTGGACCTGGGCCGGCCTTGGGTTTACGGCCGTAAACAGGTTTACGGCCGTAAACTCATTGTCGGGCCATAAATAACTCACAAACTACCAAAAGCTATAAATTGACTCAAAAGAACCTATTACATAGAAAGCCTAGACCAAACCACTAATTGGACCCTTCATGAGTATTTTTTTCTCAACAACCCATCAGCTATGATATCTTTTCCCCATCTCCTCAAAATGAAATTTGATGGAATTTCATCATACTCTTTCATATTTAATATGAAAAACATATGACGACATAACAATCCTTCCTGGACAAAAAACATGCAGCTACAACTGATGCTAATGCTATCACCCCTTCTACTAAATACAACCTACAAAATTATCATTAATAAACAAATTAATATGTGAATAAGAAATTCCATCTCATACCATTCGATAAAAATTTATACAAATTAACATCAATTCACATTATTAATCAACAGGACATTAGAAATCATAATACCATAATATAAATATGTACTTCAAATCAAATTCACAAAAAAAAAAAACATATTCCATACTAATCTAATGAAAAGTACAAACCAATTTATAACTCTATAAAAATTCACACTATAAATTAGCAAAACATCCTACATTCACAGTGTGAATTTTGAAACTACATTTTATATTTAATAAACTATATTAGGACAAAGAGACATACCTTGTAACGAGTATTAGGACAATGAGAAGGAAGACTATTTTGATAAAAGTCATCAGATTCTTCATCCTCATTCACATTTTTATCAATCAACTTTTTTTTCTTCTTATCTCTCAAAACATAAACTTCACTTTCATCTTCAATAACTACAGATTCTTGAACACAATAAAACACGGATTTATATAACTTTTTCTGAATGTCCAAGAAAATATTATGTGTATAAATTTCCAATGCATGCTTTTCAATAGCCAAAGGAGTCCTTAGCTTGGGGGTAGTAGTTGTGGACTGATAATCTAATAAAGATTGATGATGCCTTTGCTTCTCCATTGCACTATCAAACGACATCATGAACTTCACCAAATTTGATTTATGATGCAAAAAATGTGAGAAAGCATTATTCAGACTCTCTGATCTTGAAGTAGTTCGCATCAAACCAGAAAGTTCAAGATCTCTCATAAAAGCTGGAATCCATAAATCCCTTATTTTAAAAACAGACCTTAACCAGTCATTTTCTTTTAGATTAAACTTATCTAACATTGTTGACCATGAACTTTCAAAATCTTGTGGAGAACATTGAAGATTCCATATAATATCAAAAAATGTCTTCTGGAAGTCCGGATGGTTATAAACATCGATAGGAATCTAAAAAAAGAAACACATAAGAATCATTACATATGTTGAATATTTGACGTAATTCATATTAACATAACATTTGGTTCACATTATGAATTCACAGTGTGATTTATGATTTAGATTTGTTCCTGTAACACCCAAAAATTTCGAACAAATTTAAACTTTCAAAACATGTCAAGTTCATCAAAACATTACAAATTTGTTTTCAAAATACATTCTATCAGAGTATTCCCAGAAACATAAACATAACAGGAGGAGCTGTACGATCATGCATTCGCCTTGCCACGATCCCCTGAAGAACCTGAAACAATAAACTGAAACTGTAAGCCCGAAAGCTTAGTGAGTTACCCCCAAAATACCGATACACATACAGTCCATATAACCATGTCAACAATAACATATCATAACAAACTGAACAGAACAGCACATAACGGGTCCACAACCCTACAGACTGAAATACCCACAAGCCCACAGTACGAGTCTCCCTTAGCCCGTAACTGGAATGCTCCCGAGCCCACAGTACGAGTCTCCCTTAGCCCGTAACCATAACCAACTGAACAATATGTAATGGGTCCCCAGCTCCACAGACTGGATTACCCCCGAGCCCACAGTACGAGTCTCCCTCAGCCCGTAACTGGAATGCTCCCGAGCCCACAGTACGAGTCTCCCTTAGCCCGTAACTGGATTGCTCCTAGGGTTTGTTGGCTACCGCACGAAGCAGTACAACCTCAACCCATCCCATATAACAAACACATATCATAACCACTGAGCATGCAATAATCACATAACATCACAGGTAGTCCTACAGGTCTACCTAACTGGCATAACTACTAGCATGCAACACTAACTCATACCCAACATCTAACACTGCTAGGATAACATATCCAATGGGTCGGCCTTGGTGCCTTAGACCCCTTAGTATAGTGAGGATAACTCACCTCGCAAATGTCGACCCGGAAGATAAAACCCAACTCTCGAATCACTTGGCACAGGCTCCACCACCTAATACCATAGCACAATATACTCATAAGTCCTTAACCTTATAAGGTACTCCATAACTCACTAGTCAACCCCTGGTCAAAGTCAAAGTCCTCAGTCCAGGTCAACAGTCCATGTTGACCTTACTCGCCGAGTACCCTCAGCTACTCGTCGAGTTCCTTGAAGCACTATCCCACTCGCCGAGTCATCGAGGTGACTCATCGAGTTTCTCCGATTTTCGACCAACTCTAAGGCCACCCGTCGAGTTTTCCTTTTTGCACACGACGGACACACACACATTCATAACTTGGGGAAAACTCATCCGACTCGCCGAGTTGTTTTTCAACTCGCCGAGTCTTATGGTAATCTTCATCGGACTCGCCGAGTTATTCATCCAACTCATCGAGTTCATGGCCATCTTCATGTGACTCGTCGAGTCAACCTTGCGACTCGCCGAGTCCATTCAGTCCTTTTTCCATACAGACTTGTTTTGAGCCATGCAGCGGCTCCAAATCACAGATCCAAGCTTCTAGGGCATGCTTATCACGTAAAGTTGCAAACTTTACGTGCATGCATGGCTATAAAGGCTCTAAATGCCTATTTTAAGTTCTTAATGGAACTTCATGCTCAAGAGGGACCTTAATCACGACCAAAACTGAAACTTTATGCTTATAGAATCCAAGGAGGGTCCAGATCTAAAGTTACAACCTCAGATCTAGCCCATAGCTCATCTTTCCAACTTAATATCTCACCAAAGCCCTAAAACTCAACCAATAGAAGAGATTCACAAAGAAAAGGCGATTTGGTTACCTCCAGAAGATGATAACTGAGATAAGAGTTGATTCCCACACTCTACTTGCTCCAATCTCCTTCTCCTCTAAGCCTTCTCCCTCCAAGGATCCTCTCTTCAAGCTTCAAACACACAATGGGCACACACACACGTATTAAGGTTTTAAGGGGCTCTCAAAGACTGCAAAGAGGCCATAGGAGGCTTATCATTCCTTAAATAGGGTGCAAAACCCCGAGATTTAGGGTTTCATCTGCCAACTCCTACTCGTCGAGTCCCTTAGTGGACTCGTCGAGTAGGTCACTAAACACGCGTTCCAACCCCGCTGCTACTCGACGAGTAGGGCAACCAACTCGTCGAGTAGGACATTAAACCAGTTAACCTTTATTTAAATCCATACTTGGAATCGGGGCGTTACAGTTCCTTTCATCATATGAAAATTTACATTGTGAATTCACTATATGCTTTATGATCTATATGGTTATAAACATATATAGGAATCAAGAAACAAAAAATATACCTTTTCCTCAAGTTTTTGAGTGATGTGCCACATGCATAGTCTATGCTTCGATTCAGGAAAAACAAAATTAACAGCTTTCTTCATTGATGAATCCTGATCTGTTACAATCATCATGGGAGGCTTGACAAATGCTTTACGAAAACACTTCAAGCAACCACACATATGCATCTGCTGTCTCACGAGCTAGTAAAACAGCAGCAAAAGTAACACAACGCTTGTGGTAGTCAACTCCAGTAAAAAGAACAAATACCATAGAATACCTGAATTTTTTTTTGATAGGTATTATTAAAAAGAACAAATACCATAAAAAGAACAAATAAGGATTAGGAATTACTTATTTGTTTGATAAGTAGCATCAAAAGATAGTACATCTCCAAATTCCTTATAGTTGGCTTTCGAAGTATCATCAGCCCAAAAAAGTCCAGTAAGATGATCATCAACATCTTTTTGAACCTCAAATGAAAAATTAGAGAAACACAATTTTCTGTTTGTCAATATATCCACAACCATTTGGGAATCTTTGACACCAATTTTACAATTCAAATCTCTATGAAATTTTTTAAAGTCAGCTGCAGTCCCTCCCCTAGAATCAAAGCCACCCTTCATACTACTCACCAAGTTATAAGCTTTTGAAGCACCAATGTTACAAGTACCAACCTTATGTATAAAGGATTCATCAAGAAAATCCATTGTCCTATTAATCCTTAATAAGTGCAACTGATCTTGAGCAACAAGTTCATGGTTATGATCTTCAACAAACACATAAATGTAGAACATTAAAGAACATCAGAGATTTTTGAACTTTGAAACAGTAGGGCATCCGTTCTTCTTAGAAGAAGTTCTCCTTCTCTTAACATCTGAAAATTTCACATTAACATTTTCATTCTTGAATGACTCCGTGAAACCAGATCTACTACATGTCGAATATCTAATACGAATTGTGCCATCATTGTATCTTTTTTGACTTGACATATTCACATCAAAACCACATTCTTGACCATAAGTCTTGTAAAAGTCAAGACCAATGTCCAATGAATCAAACAGCAATCCTTTGAAAGGCTTCTTATGTATCAACTTATCATAAGGAATAAGCTTAAAACTTTCAGTATTGTAGAGTTCAAAATCAAAACTATAATGAGAATTACTGCTATTTGAATGATCAATATTCATACTTGAAGATGATTGATCATGAACTGCAAAACCAAACAAAACATCTATTTCATTACATTATATATAAAATGTGAAATTTATATTAAGAAAAAAAACTTACGTGATTGTTCATTAATAATTGAATGCAAATCTGAACAAAAATTACTGTTATTTGAATGATCAATATTCATATTTGAAGATGACTGATCATGAACTGCAAAACAAAAAAAACATATATTTTATTACATTATATAGAAAATGTGAAATTTATATTAAGAAAAAAAAACTTACGTGATTGTTCATTAATAGTTGAATGCAAATCTGAACAAGAATTCAAAGAACTCATAATGAATCGTCGGTAACCTGGAGTTTATATACAGATTAGAAATTTAGAATTGATAATTACACAAAAAAGGAAACAAATAAACAAGATAATCACAAAACTTTAAAATATATGCACAAGATAAGATAAGATTCTCAAAATCACTAAAAGTTTGGAAAAAACTTAAATGTCAGAAGATACACAAGATATAATTGATTATCTAAATGTCGAATATGCATTACAGACGAATGATTACAAAAACGGTCGAATGAAAAACAGTAACATCAAACGCAAATTCAACATACGACATAAAAATAGCAAATTAACAATAAAAACATAACAATTTGAAGATTAAACGGTAAAATCAACAGAATTTGACAATAGACGATTACAATAACAATAAAAATAAGTTGATAAACAATGCATCGGAATTGACCTAATAATCATAAACGAAAGATGAATAGATATTAAAAATACCTGATGATTAGCTGAAATCTGAAGAAACTATTAGTAAATTGGATGAAAAATGTTGATTTCGAAGAACAGCCGAGATTTTGGATCGATCGATGAAGGACAGTGACAGAAGACGCTAACGGAGACAAACAACAACATTAGATTAGACGCTGAACTTACCAAAATGCCCCTCCGTGTTTTTTTTGGTTAATTAAGGATTAATGGCCAAGATTAAAAAAAATAGATGGTTAAGATGGGTTCCTTGGTTCTTTGATCCATATTGGTTCTCTATTGAACTTTTCCCTATATATATATATATATATATATATATATATATATATTATATATATATATATATATATATATATATATATATATATATATATATATATATATCATGTTTTGGGAGCAAAAAAAGGATAACCCAAAGTCTATATATATATATATATATATATATATATATAATATATATATATATATATATATATATATATATATATATATATATATATATATATATATATATATCATGTTTTGGGAGCAAAAAAGGATAACCCAAAGTCTGGTTTTATTTTATGCATAGTTGGTTTACTCATATAATGGGTTTTTAGTGGGCTGAGCCTTTTGCAATATGAACGAACAAATAAATATCCTTTTAGGGAATACCAATTCACATAAAAGGAGTTATGGGCTGGTTAGTCCATTATGACAAACGTATGTTAACGGCGAATGGCGAGTCTTGCGTTTTTTTTTTTTTTTTTTTTTTTTTTTTTTTTTTTTTGCTGTTTTGTTTGGCGCAAGCTTTTGCATTTTATAAAATCTCGCCGGTTCCCAAAAAAAGATAGTGTTTGTTTTTAAGAAAAATTTGTTTTGATTTTTCGTTAGACTCGACAATATGATACACGAAACAATTGACACGAAACGAACATTACACGAGCTTTCCGTGTAAGAGTTTTAGAAATTCATGCTTTGTGTCTATTTGTGTCGATACACATTCTAAATCTCATATTTCGTGTCTTACAAGTGTCAAACACAGATGTATATGTTTAAACACGTATAGACACAGACGTATAACCGGTCCTATGTAAATGAAAAAAAAAATACAAATTCAACCCCTAAATTTTCTTGATCTTGTTGTTTTAGTTATTAATTATTTAGGGGATAAAGTTTACATTTACTAAAATATTAGGAACAATTTAGTAAATAACATTATAAACATTCTATTAGTGTAAATTCATGTTTATTTGTATAACACGATTAAAACATGTATATTTGTGTCATCCCACGTGTCACAAAGATTAATTACATGTTGTGTTCATGTTTGATACCCAAACACGTTTTACAATCTGTTTCATGTTTGTTTTTGACAAATTTGTGTCATTTAATTCGTGTCTGGCCCGTATACACGACACATAGACTCAGATTGTCATGTCAACTTTTTATGTCTCTGGATGGGTAGACATTACATCTAAAGAGCATTTGTTTTTTAGAAGGCAAAATACAAAAAAGTCTCTTTGACTTGTTTTTATAGTAGATAAAAAAACATCTTTTGGTTTTAGAAAATATCTTCTAACCTTAATATTTTTTTTACGCATCCCCCTCCACCATGTTTTGTGCATGCTCCACTCTCTCCACCAACTTCTATTCATGATGTCCACTCCTCTATCAGATGTTGTTCATGATGGGTTTCGAGCCTCATTAGAACAACCAAAATGGCAACGAAAACAACAAACAATTTGATCTAAAACTCGAAACATATGGATCTAAACTCAACAAATCTATGCAACTTATTAGAACTCAATATATAGAAAACATACCTTAGATTTATTATAGATTTCTTATTAAGACAAAACCAGTTGCTTGGACTAGAGAACCCAAATGAGAGTTCATCTTTTATAATCGTACCCAAGACGCAAAACTCTAACAGATCTGAACAAACCACCACGACCTAACACGATACAAGCTCAAATCGATGATTCTGATCATCGTCATGTCGTGACAAAAGAGGTGTCACGACGTGCCATCGAGCCTTCTAGTTTTCTAAGGTTTTCTCAGGGTTTCGGCTTTTAGAGTAAGAAGGCTAAGTTTTCATCCATCCAAAACTGGGATTTGACCCCTTTATTTATAGGGAGGTCGTTTGAAACCCTAAAGATAATTACCAAATCTATTAGTAATTATCTACTCTTTTGGTAACTATCCAAGAAACAAAACCATTATAAAATATTCCATATTCTCCATGTTTTCTAATTAATTAATTAATCTATTAATCAATTAACAAAACAAGTTCCCAAAATAAATATCTTTTCAGTGCTGGTTTATTTTGTTCTTGCTTGTAACCCAAAATGACATTGTTATTTATAGTTGTTGGATTAAGTGTCTAAGCCCATAACTAAAATTGATATATACTTAAATTGATAGTAGCACAATCTTTTTTGGTTGCCCTCAAAACTAGTAATTGGACAAGATGACTTTTAGAGAGAAAGATTAATTTATTATGTGAATAACAAATTAAATAAATGGTTTACTAATGTATTATGAAAATAATATATTAATTAGAAATCATATTATTTAATTAATAATTAATCAGAAATTAATTGGAATTAATTTTGGGATTAATTGGATTAATTAAAAGTACATGGACTGTTTGGTTATTTATTGAAAGTTGAGAAGGAAGGCTCTAGAACCTCATTAGATGAGGTGGACGAAAACTTCTAGGGAAGACCTAGAATTTTCGTCCACGACCCTTTGGATAAGGGATTGGGCTGCTTGGTCACCAAGTAAAGGAATCTAGGGCTTATCCCTTAAAACCTAGCTTTGGCCCAAGATTGCTCAATTATATAAAGGTCTCCCTAGCTCTTGATTTCGTCTATCCCTTTCATTCTACAAGCATTGGACGAAATCTTGGCTCTCTTCTCCTCTCTATAGTTTTCCTCTTGCTAGCTTGGGTGTGAACCATCAGAGGCACGACGCTTGTGGTGCTTGGTTCCAAAAGATCAACAAGAGGAATTCTAGTTGTTTACAATAACAACTAAAAGGTATGTAACCCTACACCTTTTCTTTAGTGATTTCGAAAAATTACCTAGGGTTCATAGGGTTCTTATTTTGATGTTCATAGTTATAGGTTCAATAGTGAAAACATAGATCTTGTTTTAGGTTGCATGCATACTTAAGAGTTTTAAGTTTGTTTTGTTATGCCTAAAACCCATCAGTGGTATCAGAGCGTTAGGTTTGTTTTCAATTGAATTTGCTATAATTGTTGAATTTTCTCAAATTAGGGTTTATGGCAATCAAACCCTATAAGGCAACAAATTTCGAAATTGGATTAGGGTTTCTTGCCCCCTAAGTTTCGAAATTAGGGTTTAGGTTTTGAAACCCTAACCCTCCTCCCCACGAAATTCGAAATTAAAGGTGGAACACAGTAGTATCCTAAATGAAATGACTAATCTCCATCAAATATTAAGTTCTCTACTTAATAATCTCTAGTTTAAATAGAGACCATAACCACATCAGTTTCGAAATTTTAAAAAAAGCTAATTTGTTGGATAATTATAATTGGATAAATCCTATACCTATTTTTGAAAAATTTAGGGGTATAAGGATTAGGATCAAATTAATTGATTAATTTTATTGGGAAATCCTTATTTGATTTAATATAATTAATTAAATGTTAATTAATAGATAATTATTAAATCATTTGGTTTATTTTTAAATTTAAATTAATTATTTAATTTTCAAAAATTTAATTATAAACCTTTTATTTTGAAAAGGTTTTAAAATACACCTTATACTATATGTAAAATTAAAAGTTTAATAATTACTATATGCATAAGACTAAGTCAGTCGAACCGCTAGTACGCCTCATTCACGAAGCTAGTCTATAAGGGGGATATAAGGAAACTGCCTATAAAATGGTAGTGAATGGATGTCCACTCTTACCCACCGCTTCCTTGATTAGTGGAGGGTCGTTAGCCGGACGGGTTTGATAGGACATATAATTCTCATTAAAAGTATAATGCTATTAAAAGTAACTAACCCTTTTGAAAAATCTCAATCTTAGTTACTTTAGGAAAAATGTGAATTTGTATGCTAACCCATGAAATTGCACATTATACTTTATAGTAGTTAGTGGAGCGTGTGTGGTTAACCGACACACTAATAGTGACTATAAAGAGTAACAATGGGCATCTCGAAAATTATCAGTTATTAATGGAGTGTGTGTGGTTAACTGACACATTAAAATGAGATGATAAATGACATCGAGAGTGCCAAGCTAATTTGCATGGTTATTCACATCTTGTTTGTGATCCTCGGTATCTCAGTCACAAATGGAAGAACATAATTTGAGATTAAACATGTCATTGAATAGTTTCAATGAATCTCAAAAGATCTAGGAATTTCATTAAAACTTAATTTCCTTTTAAAATTTCATTTCTGTTGGTGGAATTGGTAAATCATCATTTACATACCTTTATAAAATTACAATTAGATTACGACATCCCTTTTCTAGGTTGTGAATTTTTTAGTTGGATCCTAGCCTTAATATATTTTGGGTTGTTATATTAAGGATTATT